AAAAAAAATCATATTTTTCTAAGTTTGCACATTTCAAAACTGAGATGTTTTGACTATTTTGAAAGCTAAAAAAAAAAAAAAAGGCATCGAAGAAATAGTGGCTATTAGACAACATCTTTTTTTGAGAAGCTCTTCCCAGCTTCCATTAATGAATGATGTGTGTGTTAGTCATTTATTTAAGTAAGTGCTATTTGACCTAAGCATCTGTTTGTCTTTCACAAATGCAGAAGGTTAAACAAAAAGTAACTTTGAAATAGATTAAACTTGATTTATATACTGTAATTTACTAAATATGATTTAAGAAGCTCTAGGCAGGGTAGCTTTTAACTTTTTTGGGAAAACTTTTAATACAATATGAAATCTACAGAAAAGTCCCAAAGAACTCCTATATACCCTTTACCCAGTTGTTTCACTTTCCCTGTGTGCTTCCTCACCCCCCATTCCCATGCATGTGTGCATTAGTTTTTGTGGAACCAACTTTTCCCGTGATGGTGGTGCCATTTCAGACTCCCACCAGCAATGTAGCAGACTTTCAGTTATTCCACATCTTTGAAACAGTTGATATCACCAGTGTAATTGCATAAATAATGTTAATTTAAAGATACAGCAAATATTTTTGTTTTATTTCAGATGAGAAATAACTTTAGACATTATTTCATCGAACCTCCCCAACTTAAATTACTTTATGATGTTGGAACGTGGATAGTAACTCAAATAGCAATAAGTTACACAGTTGTGCCATTTGTACTTCTTTCTGTAAAACCATCATTCATGTTTTACAGGTAAGTATTGCTCTAACAAATTTTTCAGTGGGAATAACTTTATTTTTTTAAAAAGTTTCTTGCTTGGTAGAACAGAAAAATAATACCATAGCCTCATTTCCTGCCGCTAAATGCATTATCAGTTACTTTTTTAATCCTAAACCAAGCAGTCTCAAGTTCTTTGTGGAATGAGTCATACCACTCCATCCTCAGATGAGAATGTGCTTTAGATGGAGAAATGCCAGCTATATAACCACTGTCTCAAATCTCTCATAAAGGTTTAATGAAGAACCTCATAGGTAATTGTTCTCAACCTGTTTGGAAAAGACAGTTCTTTACAAAGAATTATTAATTATCTTAATTTCTTTAATTAAAAGAAAATTACTTATATTTTATTTATTTGCTTCCTTTTTGTTACTCTTTTATGTTTCGTTGGTACCATGGTGATCTCTATATTATAGAAATTGTTGTCTTGAGTTCCATATTTTTTGTTTATCTGCTTAATCTCTACTCCCTGACCCATCAAATTCCTCCCCCCATATTAGATCGTGATATTCTTGACATCAAAAACTTTATTCTTCCCATAAATTTTTCATTACTCTAACATTTAGAATGATTTAGCACACAGTGTGTGGGCCATAAATTATTGAGTCAGATGTGACAATAAGCATACAGTAGAACATGAAATCCTGCTAAAATTTCCATTTTAACAGAATTATTACGTATTTTTTAAATGTGATTGAGCTGTTGGTTAGATTTTCTTTCCCAGGTACTTTGTTTAGAATCACTTGAATTTCCAGCTGTAGAAGCATTTAGGTTACATTTGGTATATATTTTATTTGGGGGATGATGATTCTAGTAATGTTTTTTATAATTTGACCTTTCTTTATTTTGTGAAAGTAACCATCAAGAAGCAATATTGCTTATCTCTTACCTTGTTAGAATGTTTGTAACTTAGAGATAGTAAATAGCAGGGGAGGAAAGTCTTTGCTATACCAATACTCTTTGTTTACTCACCTTTTGACTCAGTGGATTGGAGAGATTTTCAGATTTCTGTCGCTATTAATAAATACCTTTTCGTTCTGTGTAGCCATGACCTTGTGTCCCGTATAAGGAATGTAAGAAAGATACCTAGTGTCTTGCCCATCCAGCCTTTATAAATACCCCTGGCCTACACTCTAGAGTTTCCTGTCCTAAGAGGGCAAAATGAGAGAATAACACAGTAAATAGACACATCCTAAGGGGAGAGGTTGGTGAGTGACATTTTGACAAGTGTGCAGTTATTAAGGATTATTATCAAAATGTAATAAAATAAACTTTTTTCATTCTTTTTTTAGCTCCTGGTATTACTGCCTGCATATTGTTGGTCTCTCAGTATTATTGTTTTTGCCGGTGAAAAAAACTCAGAGAGGAAAGAATACACATGAAAATGTTCAGCTCTCACAATCCAAAAAGTTTGATGAAAGAGAAAATTCTTTGGGACAGAACAGTTTTTCCACAACAAACAATGTTTGCAATCAGAATCAAGAAGTAGCCTCCAGACATTCGTCACTAAAGCAGTGATGGGGAAAGGATCTGACGGCTATTTTTTGTATATTAACAGAAACCAATCTTAGCACCTTTTCAAGGGGTTTGTGTTTGTTTGAAAAGAGCTTAACTGGGGGGAAATGGGATGGTTATAGGTGGGGAATTTCCTGTATACCAGACAGGAAATGGAGTGAAATAACCCCTCCCATGACACGTTCCTGTGGGCCACGCCTTATATAAAAATATTTCCATATTTCAATGGGCACTTACAACCTCAGCATACGTCCACAGGGTCACATTTGTGCCCTGTTGCTGAATGTACATTGCGTATCCCAAGGCACTGAAGAGGTGGAAAAATAATCGTATCAATCTGAATGATTGAAAGAAATTAACTTTTCCAAATGAATGTCTTGCCTTAAGCCCTCTATTTCCTAAAATATTGTTCTTAAATGGTATTTTCAAGTGTAATATTGTGCGAGCACTATTGCAGTAGTTGATATTGTGTGCTGTAAAGGAGTTTAGGAAGAATTTGAAACAGGATATTTAAGAATGTGGATAACTTAAAAATGCAATAAACATCTCAGTATTTGAAGGGTTTTCTTAAAGTATGTCTCAAATGACTACAATACATAGTGAAACTGTAAACAGTAATGGATGCCAAATTATAGGTAGCTTATTTTGCTAGAGAGTTTAATTACCTTGTGTCAGTCAGAGAGCCCTTCAAGGAGCAATTTCTTAAACATAATTAAAGGTTGGTAATGTGATATTTTAAG